CTTTATGTGAACAGCAGCGATTTCCTGGCTCTGCTCAACGATGAGAGGCTGCACCCCAACGCCTCGGGTGAGACCCCAAAAACACCGAAATCACCCCAAAATCACCCCAAAAATAATCCCCAAACAATCAAAAATAACAAAAAAAACAAAAAACAAAAAAAAAACCCCAAAAAATAAGGAAAAAAATCCAAAAAAATCCCCCCAAAAACCCGCAAAAAATGCCCCAAAACCACCAAAAATAACCCAAAAATAACCCCAAAAATAATCCCCAAAAAATCAAAAATAACAACAAAATAAAAAACCTAAAAAAACCCAAAAAATAAGGAAAAAAATCCCAAAAAAGCCTCCAAAAAATGCCCCAAAACTCCAAAATCACCCCAAAAATAACCCAAAATAACCCCAAAAAATCAAAAATAACAACAAAATAAAAAACCTAAAAAAACCCAAAAAATAAGGAAAAAAATCCCAAAAAAGCCTCCAAAAATGCCCCAAAACTCCAAAATCACCCCAAAATAACCCCAAAAATAATCCCCAAAAAATCAAAAATAACAAAAAAACAAAAAACAAAAAAAACCCCAAAAAATAACAAAAAAACCCCAAAAATCCCCCCAAAAACCCGCAAGAAATGCCCCAAAACGCCAAAAATAACCCAAAAATCACCCCAAAAATAATCCCCAAAAATAAAAAATAACAAAAAAACCAAAAAACAAAAAAAAAACCCCAAAAAATAAGGAAAAAAATCCCAAAAAATTCTCAAAAAAATGCCCCAAAAACACCAAAATCACCCCAAAAATCACCCCAAAAATAACCCCAAACAATCAAAAATAACAAAAAAATAAAAAACCTAAAAAAACCCAAAAAATAACAAAAAAATCCCAAAAAAATTCTCCAAAAAATGCCCCAAAACCGCCAAAAATAACCCAAAAATCACCCCAAAAATAATCCCCAAAAAATCAAAATTAACAAAAAAACAAAAAACCTAAAAAAACCCCAAAAAATAAGGAAAAAAATCCCAAAAAATCCTCAAAAAAATGC